TGCTCGGAACCGATTGTTCAATGTGGGTATGTTAGGAGATTGAAATTGTTTGATTCGGAGTAAACCGACTCACAATCGAAACTGCGAATGGACTTAGAATCGGATTCCCTGTCGGCTTGGAGGGTGAGAGTTACAACCGATTGTTCGATGTTGGTATGTTCAGATATTGAAATTGTGATAGGGTTTTCGCAGACAGAGGGGGCGTCAGAGGTGGGCGACATTGGTGGATGAAGGCGACGAGTGGTGGTTTTAAAAAGCGGACGATGGATGGAGAAAACCTGGGTAGCTGAAGTCAATGGTTACCATAATTATAGGATATTATTTGTGGAACCTAATTATCAAATTACCTATTTACCCTTATTTATTTAATTATTTATTTATTTTTATTTTAAATTTTGATTGGCTCACATTTATGCATACAATAACACAATAATTACTTTGAATACCTGAACCTAGCTCTCTCTCTCGCTCCTCCTCTCTCTATATATATATATAGATATATAGTATATATATATATATATATATATAGATATATAATATAATATATATATATATATAGTAACTTACATGAATCGTCCTTAGTGAAGGTGCCAAAAGTCACGTTCCATCCCTATTTTCAAAAAACAACTTGGACTGTCCCTGTGTTGGCATTTCCTTGCACGCTTAGTGCCTATCATCGATAAGCGTTAGTGCTTCCATTTCACCGCCCTACATGCCGTTCGTGTAGGTGTATTTTCGTCTTTTGGAAGTGTGACCACAGTCACAAGTGTTTTTTCTATAAATGTCAAAAAATATAAATATATGTTCTTGCGTGTAACCTATAACAACCATGTTATTAGTATTAATATTACCAAACTGTTGTGACTGTGGTCGTACTTCCAACATGAATAACGCATTAGTAGACATTTTCCACAGTCACACCAGTTTAGTAATATTACTAGTAATAACGTGGTTTTTTTAGGTTACATGCATGAACATATTTAAGAAATAACTAATAAGAGAGAATTTATGAGGATCTTGTTGGTTAATTTCTAAGTGTTTAATAAATTAAAAACAAACCTTTAAATTTTAAGGGGTTTAAAGTGTAAGATTTGAAATCCAAATCTCAAGGATAATTACTTAGTGACCAACTAATTATTCAAGTAGAAAAATTATCCCTCGCCCCTATAAATAGAGGATCCTAGAAGTGGACAGGTGTGTGACACAACTCATCATTTAGTTTTTTCCTCTTCCCGCATCTCAAAATCTACAAGATCGATTTTAAATTGATAATGGATTCCGCAAGCAAAAATTAAGTATTCAATAAGAAAATCTTAAATTTTTATATGACGGAATCAATAAGAACGGTCACAACCATACATGTCAGAAGAAAATATATTTTATTTTTTTTCTCTTTTTAAAAGAACGTAGGGATTTTTTACTTATACCTGGAAATCACAAAAAATATTTACCAGTAACTATTACTTTGTAAAATATTTATAAAAAATATGGTAAATTTGTAAAAACTTGTATTTTTTAAATTCTATATTATGAGAATAATTAAAAAAATAATTGGACCCACCGACCCTTCCATCTCCTCTCTATTATGATCATCTCGTGTCTTTTGTTATATATATATATATATAATATATAATATAGATATATATATATATATATATATATATATATCGATATATATATATAATCACATCGTATAGGCAATTTTGATATTCGTGGATTTTGGTGATCTTTTGTGAATGAGCATGGTGCCATTTGTTTTATTTTGGTGATGTTCCCTAGTGACGATGGTGGATTACTATACTTGCAAACACCATTCACCCAGCTAATGTTGTAATATGCAAATGTAACACGCCCTTTTCTAGAATTGATCAGATAAAGACTTAGGGATTGCCAAGATAAGTTTTTCTGGAAAAACCTGATTCCACGGCGTGGCCACTTCATTTAAAGGAGGATCGCGATTGGCCAACACCACGACATGGCAAGAGGGTGACAACGACGTGGTGGCTATTACATCCCAAGCCCAAGAGTTTAGGGTTTCTCCCATATTTAAGGACCTTAACTTTGGGTTTAGGCCATTCTCCTCAGTCTCCGCCCTCGTAACTCGAAACTCTAGCCCCTTTTTCAGTGTTCTTGAGGTTTGTGTGATGATTTGGAAGTTTTAAGCCTTGAAAACATCTTAGGAGAAGAACATGGTATGCTTATTGGTTGAAAGGTTGAATTGACTTTAGATCTTGCATCCCCTGCATCTTGTGGAGCTTTGGAATGTATTAATCTTCCACCTTTATCATTCATGTTTCTCATATCATGCTTTGAGGTCCTTTTAAATCCTTTGAAAGGATGTTCTTGAAGTTTTGAGCAACTCCAGAACCTTATACTTGCTTTGTGACCATTTCTTGACTCAATCTGATGGAATAGTGTTAGTTCATGTTTCCCTTTGAAGCATGCACAAGTTTTTGTTATATTAAGGGATTAATGGACTTAAGGTTGTAGATCTTGTCATGTGGGTAAAGTTGGAAGCTTTATCCATTAAGTCAATGAAAATGACAATATATGATGTCATGGGCTTTGATCTGTAAGGATTAAGCTCTTAACGAGGAAAAGAGCAGTTTACCGAGAACCACGACATTTCCATGGAAGGCCCATAATCATGGTGCCCTGCACCGCAACTGTTTTGACTAGAGAGGCCCACAACGTGGCCAAGAGGTAATCACGGCGTGGTGACTATTGACCTAGTTGACCCTTGACTTTTGCTGACTGTTGAACATTTACTTTTGACCAGTTTGACATTGGGTCAAACTCGAAGGATTTAGGTTGTTGATTGAGTATTGATCTTTACTGGTGTTAGTCAGTTCGTAGGATTGATCAGCGAAATGAGTGAAAGTGTTATCGTGCTTCTTCGTTTTTGCAATTCAGGTGAGTCTTCTCGCTATACTATGTGTGACATTGTATATCCTTTATATGATAGGAAAAAGGTATTGTTAGAGTATGAGCATGTTAGTTGACTAGGATGAATCCTTGATATATATATATATATATATATATATGTACAGTGTAGAGCACTTACTGTCATGTTATGCTAGATTGTCATTGTGATTTTTGCATGAAAGACTGTAGTTGGATCACAACACCTGTATGAAAGACTTCGTGGGATCACAGCACATGTATGAAAGACATTGGTTGGATCACAACACTTGTATAGTTATGAATGGTTAGGGTAATGATAGTTTCGGATGGTCGTTGAGTGAATACCCTAGAAGTCATATGTAGTCCACGTTAGATAGCCTGAGAACTCTTGGTCCAAAGCCTTATTGTATGGTTCTTGTTTGATTTATTGTTTTCGGGTGGGATCATCTGTTTCACTGTCTATCTGGGTCCCGACTATATATAACTATGTATTCATGAGGTGGTTGTTAGGTTTAGCATTGACACTGGTATAGATGTTGTTCCGGCGCAAGGTCGATGATTGCATGACAGATGAGTTGACAGACGAGAGTTGGTAGTGGAGTACTAGTAGATTTCACGTATGATTACTATGTATGTTGTATGCATGTGGATAGGAGAGTTCGCAGATTGGCATCATAGCCGAGGACCTTGCTTGGAAACATTGTATCTATAGTGGAATATGCGGTATACTGACGAAGTCACTAAGCTTATGCTTAAAGTTGTGGATTAAATGTTTTTCAGGTTGTTCACATAAAGAACCCAAAAGGACTGTACACTCGCATCAAAGATTTGGTTTCTACTGTTTTGTAATTCAACTATGTAAATCTTATGATTTTCGAATATATGAAGGTCAATTATAAATTTTCAGTTAAAGGGTTTAATTGTTAATCTATTTTGAAAATGAAAACTTTCTTTGTAATTATCGGAACGTTACAACAAATACCTATACTTGAAAAAAGATACATTGTAGGTCTTGTATAGATCATCAGGTATGGATGTGGAGGGTATTGAAAGAAATGCATGTAAAGAAAGTATTAAGGTAATGCAAAAAGGTTATGGTTTTCTAGTGTTCACGTCTGAGTCTGAATTTGAATCAGACAAGCTCCGAAGGATGCCAGTGATGTTCATGGAAGAAATGATATTCCTATTCTAGACTTGGATAATGGTATTAGTAACATGTATGTGAATTATCGGATTGCAAACCATGGTGTGGATGTTGCTCCTGTTTCATGTTTCACGACTAATAATCGATCATCATTCTCTAGGATGGAATCATGTTCCTCAACTTGACATCCTTGCTCTAGAATATAATGCTTTTGTTTTTAGGATTTAGATCTCACTTTTGTGGGAAAAAATGATGGCTGGAAAAAATTGGTTGCGGTCAGGACTAACTATGGCGGCCGGAAGCAATGGAGACATGTGGTGATAAGGTGAAAGAATAAACGATTAATCAACATTAGAAAAAAATAATGTATTCCACAAAATAAGTTACTATGTTTTGGTAATAAAGTTTTAAATTACTATGGATCGGTAATTATTTTTTGAGAATACAGCCCCTTTGTATAAAACTCAAATGTACGGTCTAGGCTGGTAAAACTCAATTATACCATGTTTGGTAATTAGTTTTAGAACCACATTATTTTGGTAATTATTTTTTAGAAACTCGCCCTTTTGGTACAAAACTAAACATTCAGTTGTAAAATCGTGTTCTTTAATTGTGATTTCAAGATAGAAATCGGCCTCATAAAATCCGTTACAAAACCAGATTGTAGTACTCATTTCAACCGGATCCCTATAAGGCGCACTGAAACTTGTCATTGTTCATGTTATTTATTTATTTTTTCTAGAATAGGCCTTAATCAATTAAAGGTTTATATTTCTTAAACTAACGTAGTAAACGGTCACCATGAAGGCCATTAGTCAAGATCCAAGGGTGATGACAAACACAAGTTATTTTTTGACTTTTCTGAACCACATATTCCATGATGCTATGACTTCAAGCAACCTGTCTTTATAATATTAAAAAACTTGTACACAAACTCCGGAAAAAACCAATTGCCATGTTACTTTTTTGAGCACTAGGTTTTGAAATCCTCATCGATCTCTTCTTTTATTTTTATCTTTTTCTTAATTCCTAAAGATTTTCACTGTGGTGACTGGATAATGGCAATCTTGGTGGTGTTCCTTGTATTATTTCTGATTAACCCAGGTGTTTCACAGACAAACAACAGCCAAAACGATATTAACACACCCATCAGATCATTCTGTGGTCGTAACCCTCCGATAATTCTATCAAATTTTGTCAACAACCGCAATTCTACCCTAGCTGAGATCAGAAGAAAACTTTCAAGCAACGATGTCTTCTATGCTACAGCAGAGAGTTTATCAGAAGGAGACTCGGTCTTTGGAGCTGCCCAGTGCAGAAACTACCTCTCCGCAGCTCAGTGTGTGGCTTGTTTTGATGCGGGCGTGTCTCAACTAATCAGCTGCCTTACTGGCAATGGCGCTTATGTTTTCTTGGATAACTGCTTTGTCAGGTACACGTTTCTTGTATCTACTATTTCAGTGACTAATATATATTCTCATGTGCAATTGCTCGGCTATTAATCCAGTTTTTATTTTAGACATTAATCCAACCTCTATGCCACTTTATTTAATCATATAATTCGTCCGTTCTAATGCTTCTCATCCATTGTCTTGTTTGTTTGGCTGAGAAATTGAGCAACTCCTCAAAATTGTAGCAATTCAGTTTCTGTTCTTCTTACTTTTTTTTTTGGAATTTTAAGATTGATTACTTTATTTGTTTCCTTTGTATGGACTAAAATATTCTGTTGACAAACTAAGAAGATAAAAATTGTGTTGCCTATTACTGTCGGCAACGGAGGCCTAACTGTTGGTCCTTTTTTTTTTCTTACTGTCATCGTATTTTCCTCAATGCGTATATTTACTCCATTTCATTTCATCTAAAAATATACACAATAAAATATAGTCCATGGTAATATAATAATAAAATATAAAAATTACATTGCAATAAAATTATTTGTAACAATTATATATATATATATATATATATATATATATATATTATAATATATATATATATATATATATATATATATATATATATCATGTTGTAAAATCCCGACCATGTCCCGATTAGTCCTACGAGCTACCCGACCGACTATAAGGCGTCTAACGATTACTCATTCATGCCTATGAAATGAACGAAGAAGTAGCAAACAATGAAAATTTAACACTTTGAGAAAAAAGTTTTATCTCAATAAAAAACATTCGAGGAATAATTAGTGTTGTATTATAATATTAACTTATTTTATTATAATATTAATGTTATTTACCAACTTTGTTATGATATTTGCCGTATATAATTTTTTTTGTAACTTCAACGAATTAGATATTTATGGTCCCCGCTTAAAGGATTAATCTTTGTCTTGCCGATTAATCATTTAACTTCAGTCCACTGATTAAATAATATCGAGCGTTTTTTACAACCTTGATATATATATATATATATATATATATATATATATATAATATTCTAACTTCAGTCCACCGATTAATCATTTAACTTCAGTCCACTGATTAACTTAATGTGAGACCGCCTAATTTTGTGAGACAGTGAGACCACTTTTTTCTAGTGAAATATTCTAATATTCTAATGTTAATAAAAATTAATTATGTGTAATATTCTAATATTTTAAAACAATAATTTTAACATATTCTAAATTAAAATATTCTAAAACATATAATGTTAAAATATATTGCATATTCTATTTTTACGAACAATATAATATTAGAATATTTCAATAAAAAAATTTAGTCACACGGTCTCACAAAATTATGTTCGTTTATATATATATATATATATATATATATATATATATATATATATATATATATATATCTATAATATATATCTATATATATATATATATATACAACAATTAACGACTTTATTTATTTCATTGACCGAATAGTTTAAAAGGAGACAATATACACCTATTTATCATTTAGTAAATGAATATTTAAATATCATGTCAACAAACCTATAAAATATTTTTTCTAACAATGATTACACCATCATACCATATGGGTCGGCTAAAATTAACGACATATAAGTTATTAATTTTTTTAAATAAATCATTTTATTAAAAAAGTAAATTTATGTTTTGGTTTATTTTATAAAACAATATTAAATTATACAATCACATCACACACATTTAATAAAAAAAATGTATTGCACAAACTCAATCTTAAAATAAATCCATTGGACTTTCGATATAATTGGTCAAAATCTATATATGAAAACCATTATTAAGAGCATCTCGTATAGGTTGGTGTTATATCACCATTTTACATGTCATCTCAATCTTAACATCACCGTAACACCACGTAGAAAATGGTGTTCCTATGTTATAACATGTTAAAATGTAGAGAGAGAAAGAGAGTGATATGAAGGAAAATAGCTTTGATTGGTTCTTAATTCCCGTTTTGATATGTTGTAACGCCAACGAGAAGCAACATAACATGCAAGGAGGGTGGTGTTCACCATATTTTGACCGCATTATGGGGCTGCTACCTCAACAATAACGTCGTTATGGAGACCCATACCCTCTAAATAATAAAAATGACGGCCAAAATATTTTCGAGAACAATAGGCTTGAATAAGTTGTCTACAAAACACAATAGTCGTCGTTTGGGTGGGGCAGTAAGTCGTTATTTTGCGTTGGGTCCAAGATGGGTTGTTCCTTAATGGGGCCACCTAAAGTATATGTCGTTGAGTAGGTTTCGTAAGTTGAAAAATGAGATTATCGCGATGAAACCGTTTAAGTATCGATTGATATTATATAATCAAAATACAAGATATGTGATAACATTGGATCTACCAAACTATATCCTATGTTTACAATAAATACACATTCAAACTAATCTATCCTTTATCTATTACGAAACACGTTTGCATTCCCCTTCAATCTTAACCTTTACATGGTTGAGATTGTGTCTTAGATGTTCCAACATGTTCTTAGTTGTGGGCTTAGTTAAACCATCAGCTAGCTGATATCCAGAAGATATGAATTGAACATCAAGAACTACCATTGCTACCTTTTCTCTAACAAAATGAAAATCTAATTCTATATGTTTTGTACGGGCGTGGAATATCGGATTTGCTATTAAATATGTTGCTCCTAGATTATCACACCATAGAATTGAAGGTCTTGGTTGTCTAGCACCTAATTCTTTAAGCAAGGTTTGCAACCATATTACTTTTGTTGTGCCATTTGCAAGTGCCTTGTAATCAACCTCTTTAATAGATCTTGACACGTAGGTTGTTTGCGAGAGCTCCAAGAAATCAGATTAGGTCCAAGAAATATTGCATAACCACCTGTAGATAGATGATAGTCCAAACACACTACCCAATTTGCATCAGTAAGATACTTAAAAGTGTTGAATTTGACTACCTAAATCTGAGTCATGGGTTATTGTGCCCTTTACATATCTTAGAATTCTTTTCACTTCCTCCAAATAATGTTTGTTGGCTTCGAAAGATATTGACACACCTTATTGACAACAAAGGAAATATTGGGTCATGTGAATGTAAGATATTCAAGACCTCCAACAATACTCCTATATTTGAATACATCTTCGTCATTGAGTAGTTTTCCATGATCCCGATAGATCTTTTTTGTCACTAACATCGGGGTTGAAACGCTTTTACAATTCTCCGTATGAAAACAGTGTAGTATAGTAGGAGCATACTTGTGTTGAATTAATGTTATTCCTCCTGAATTGTGAAGAACATCAATCCCGAGAAAATAACGCAGCCGGCCAAGATCTTTGATTGGAAAAGAAGTGGATAAGGCATGAACTAATTTGGTAATCGTTGAAGAAGATGACCAAGTGATGACGATATAATCTACATAGATAAACATGTATATAGTGATGTCATTATAATGAAAAACAAATAAGGAAGTTTCTACTTTGGAAAGCCGGAAACCAAGTTGGAGCAACTTATCATTAAATCTAGAGAACCAAGCTCTAGGAGACTGTTTGAGACCATAGATGGATTTTTTCAATTTACACATAAAATGAGGTCTTCGTGGATCTTCAAAGCTAGGGGGCTACTGTATATAGACCTCCTAATTTAGAAAATCATGGAGGAACACATTACTAACATCAATTTATCGAAGAGGCTAGCGATGTGAAACAACTAAAGTTAGTATCAAACGAACTATAGTAGGTTTAACCACAGGGCTAAAGGTGTCCTGTTAATCAACACCATATTGTTGGGTAAAACCCCGTGCCAACAATCGAGCCTTATGTTTATCAATGGTGCCATCATGATGTTGTTTTAATTTAAAGATCCATATGCAACCAATTATATTTACACCAGGTGGTCGAGGAACTAGGGAGCAAGTTCAATTTTGTTGCAAGGCAGCAAATTCAGCTTCTAAAGCTTGTTTCCAAGCTGGGTCAAATAGACCAGTATGGTGTGAAGTAGGAGTAACTAAGCATGCTCGCTTGTTAAAATCATAAATAACAGTGTCGTCCATAAATTTGCACGGAAAGAATTTGTCGGCACGAACACATGTTTGAACGGCTAGTAGAGATGGATGGGGAGAAGCATCGATAAATGGTTAAGAACAGGACTGTCAACATGGGGCTGGTCCATAATGGTGCTTAGGTTGCCATGATTGTGCTGGTCCTCATCAGTGAGTATAGGGCCAACATTGGGTTAGGCCTGACTAGTTACTGGTGGTGGTGTTGCAGGTATGGTCCCGTCAGATTGGTAAAAAACCGGTAATGTTGTTGATGTCGGACCTATAGCTACATCACAACTGTTAAACAAAAGCATGGATAAATCGTAGGCATTCATACTGTTATTTAAAATTTTTGGCTCATTTTTGCGGGAAGGAGACAACTGGAGATGAACTTAAAGGTGTAGTGGTAGTATTTGAACGCGCAAAAAGAAAGGGAGATTCATCAAAAACAACATCTCAAGAAATATAGACATGACCTGTAGTGGCCTTTATGGATCGAACTGTAACCAAGAAATGTGCTAATTTTGGAACGAAACTCAAGTTATCATGAGTTCTACTTGCGTAAACTTGGCCAACATGCACAACAAAAGGTGCAAAGAAATGAGTAATCAGATTTGAGTTTGAGGAGTTCAGTATCAGGGGCTAAATTGTTGGTTGTTCGATTGGGCATTCGATTGATAAGGTAACAGGATGTGTGAAAAGCTTCATCACAAAAGCGAAGAGGGATTGAAGAGTGAGCTAATAGGGCTAACCCTATTTCAACTATGTGGCAGTGCTTTCGTTCCAACATCCCATTCTGTTGTGAGGTGTGAGGGCATGAGACACGATGTGATATGCCTACATGTTGAAAAATATATATTGATGAAGTTTATGATACTCACCTCCCCAGTTAGATTAAACAATTCGAATATTAGCATTTAAAAGATGTTCAGCGTGATTTTTAAAGTTATAAAAAATTTGTTCAACATTAGACTTATTTTTAATGATATAGATCCAAGTGTAACGACTATAATCATCCAAGAAACTGACATACTATTTAAAACCACCATTTGATACTTGAGTCGCTCCCCAAAAGTCAATGTGGACAAACTTAAGAGGAGATGCAGTAACATGAACATAAGTTTTGTAAGGTAGATGATGACTCTTAGTACGTTGACATGCATCACAAACAGAAAACTTATTATCAAAAGAACAACCTAAATTATTTGACTGTATAATAAACTTGACTATTGTTGAAGTGGGATGACCAAGACGCTGATGCCATTGGGAAGACGAGACTCTAAGACTGAATGATACACTATGAGGGGTACGCATGAGTGGAACTGGGTAAAGTCCTCATTTGCTTCTACCGAATAGTAGGGTTCTGTTCGTGACCTTATCCTTAACAAAGAAAGCATGTTTGTAAATTGCAATGAAAACATCATTATCAGAAACAAGTTTGTGCGCATACATTAAATGTTTGTTATTATGAGGAACATGGAGGATATTTTTAAAGTTAAGAGATGTGCCTAAACTACAAATTGTTGCATGACCAATATGAGAAATAGGCAAACCTGCTCCATTTGCAACTTGAACTTGATCCTTGCCATGGTATCTTTCTTGATTTATTGTGAATCGATCAATATCACTAGTGAAATGGTCTGTAGCATCGTTATCAATGTACCAAGTTGAATTAATATTGTAGTTGCCTGTCGTGACGCTGTTTCCTCCATGATACTCTTCAGACTGATATGCATGATTAAACTTGTTTCTACAGTTTAAAGCAATATGAACTGAGATTCCACAAACTTATCATCTTGGTCCTCCATTACTTTTGCTACAGTCACGGTTGCCATTACCCCTATAGTATGATCTTTTATTATGGTTTGAAGAGTTGTTGTAGTTTCTGCGAGAAGGATTCTAATCTTGACGAGTCACATTGTTTTCTGAAGATGAAAACTCCATGATGTTGTTGTTGGCTGCACTAGCTTGTGCCTCAAGAGTGATTCGGTAAGAGTAAAATTTTGGAAGTGTAATTGTTTGTTGATTTCTCAAGATAGTGCTTGTTGTCTACAAATCACTGTGACCTGGACCCAAACCAGCTAAGATATAGCCAATCATTTTTTCTTCTATTATAGGATGTCCTATGTTTTCCATGGTGTCTGCATATCTGATTATCTTCTTGTAGTACTCTGATGCCGTGAGATCTCCTTTCTTAGTGGTTGATAACTTAGTTCGATTATGGATGGTGTTTCCTTTATGTTGAGCGGAAAACATCGTGTGGAGTGTTCTAGGTTTGCGACGGTTACATACCTTAATGAGGATGGTGTTTCCTTTAGTTCAACCGGCCTTTTAGATGATTGATGAGAATGTGTTAGACTATGACAATGTAGGGTACACAGTTTTGGGTTTGCGACGGTTACATACCTTATTGACAAATGACAGGTAGTGTCTGAAATGAACTTGGAGATTGTTGAGTTATAGGGTCAAGTTATTTCCAAAGGAATGTATATGTCGCTATAAGCCTATAATGACCCAAAATTACATGCACGATCTATATAAAGAGCACAAGGTAATTCGAAACCCCATCACAAAATCAAGACAAAATCTCTCAAGTTCTACAATAGACGTAGCACCATTTCCCTAATCGTGTAAACCATATGATTTTTCTGTTATTTATTTTACCTCACATCTTAAATTTTTGGTTTGTGGGTGTATCATATATTGTTTTCTTCAAGCTGTGAAATAATCATATTTTTATCATATTAATTCAACAAGTTTTGGGATAACATCGCTAAAAAATCAAAGTCGTTTGTTGTTCAGGTACGAGAACTATAACAACTTCTACACTAACCCAGATGCGGTCGAGGATGTCGGTATAGCACCACTTTAATTATGTGGTAATCAGTCGGCATCTCAGCCAACTTTCACACAAGATGTAAATGGCTTGTTATCCGATATTAAAGATGCCACTCCAAAGACCTCTAATTTCTATGTAGCATCCATAAGGAAAATCACAAATGGAAATGGAACTGTGTATGCGATTACACAGTGTGTTGAAAATACAAGCCAGACCATATGCCAAAACTGCATCAATGCAGCATATAACGATCTATCTAATTGTCTTCCTAATACTGAAGGAAGGTCTATCTACATGGGTTGTTTTTCAAGGTATTCAGAGAATCCGTTCTTCAATGATAACCAAACAATAGACATCACAAATCTCTTAAAAGGTTAGGCCACTTCTTGACGTTTCAAGCTTATTTGTTTGTACTTGAATACATTAATTGCTTCCTTAGCGATTCATAATAATATAACAATAGTTGATTTTATAAATTTTATATGATCGTATATGATAGGGCATTCAAGTAATGTACCCAAAATTGTTGGAGCAATTGGTGGTGTAGGTCTTCTATTTATTTTGATCGTTTCTTGGTTATTGATTCGACTATGGAAGAAGTCTAAGAAGACAGAAGAAGGTAATTGTGAAACAATGTACTGTTTCCCATAATCTTTTTCTTAATGAAATATTATTCATATCATAACATCTATGTATATCTATGTGGATCATGTGATACCTTTATAGGCGAACCAGATCTGGACAGGGGAATTAACTACAATTTTAAACAGCTACAATCAGCAACTAATAATTTTAGTGAAGATAATATATTAGGGAGAGGAGGTTTTGGTGAAGTGTTCAAGGTACCAAAAATGAACATTGTGTATTACATTGTTGTATTACATTATCAGTGAGTACTAGAGTCAAAACATGTTTACTTATTAAAGAACTAAAAGATACACATTGGTTTTAGTATCAATTTAATTTCATATATTAGAGATCTAACGGGATGACTAGGATATTTGCTTTCTATTTATGTTTGAAGCAACTACATTGAAACTTAAGTTAAGAATGTGACTAATTTCTTTGATCTGTACGTATGCTTTTTTTAGGCAGTTCTAGATGATAACAACATTGTGGCAGTTAAGAAAATTGAAGTAGGGCATACTAATAAAGCAAAAGAAGAATTTGAAAATGAAGTGAAACTTATAAGTAATGTTCACCACCGAAATCTTCTCCGTCTCCTGGGATGGTCCAGTGAAGGATCAAATCTACTTTTGGTCCTGGAATACATGCCAAATGGCAGCCTAGACAGATTCTTATGGGGTAAGTTGCATGTACATAGTTAATGATGATTATAATACTTGAAATATATAGATTGTAATACTAATAAAAATGTCTTGATATATAATGGAGGTTCAAAAAAGGGGACTTTGAACTGGAAACAAAGATATGACATAATATTTGGGTTAGCAAGGGGTCTTGCTTACCTTCACAATGAATTCCATGTGAAAATCATTCATAGAGACATAAAGTCAAGCAACATTCTCCTTGATCATGATTTTCAACCAAAAATAGCTGATTTTGGGCTGGCAAGGTTTCAGCCAGATGATCTAACTCATATTAGCACCAAGTTTGCTGGGACATTGTAAGTTTGATTAATAGTTAATTATATCTTTTCATTGGTTGCATAACGAATCTAATTATATTCTTGATGTGTTATTGTTGTATAATAAAATGCCAGGGGATATACAGCGCCAGAATATGCACTCCGTGGTATTTTATCGAATAAAGTTGATACTTACAGCTTTGGTATCGTGATTCTTGAAATTATTAGTGGACGAAGGTGTACTGACATGAACACTGAAAATCCATCCATGGATTACCTCCTAAAAAACGTGAGATATCACCCTGATACGCATTTCCATTTTCTATTTGTTTTTTATTTTATTTTATTATATTTTCTAATAATGATATTCGTGAAAGTAGTATCTAGCAAGAAGGTAATTTTTTTAAATGGATTCAATAGCTACATGCATGCAATCGGCTGATTTTCACACATATATTCACATAAAAACTGATTTTCAAATTGGTTGTGGTATGCGCAACTCTTCGGTTCTATTATATGCATGCCTTCTCTTTCACTAGTTTTATGTTGTTAAAAGTATGATATTTTTTAAATTCAACAATGTTTCATATTTTCCCTAATTGGTGCAACATAACAAACAAGGTATGTGTCATTTTACCAATTTAGGTAACAATATTTCTTTTTTCTTTTAACAATTTATCAATCTATGCAACAATGTTTCATTATAATACCAATTTATGCAACAAACACCAATTATATAAAATTATTTTAATATGTTACCAAGTTTAATAGTAAAATGGTGCATATATTTGCATATCTTTGTCCAACAATGAGACGTTGTTGCATAATTTGTCTAAAAGCTATACTCTATTGTGTAAATTGCATAAATTGAGAAGCTTGTAAAACATCATTGTACAAATATTCATTTCTCCATATATAATCCATCGACAAGCAATGTAATTTTTTTTCTAGTTGATGAATGCTAAAAATTCACATCGATGCACTAGACTTAACTTTAGAAGTTGGTTGTCTTTAATTCACGTCAAGTATTACCATATTATTGCCTAGACTCGTTTAAAGTATTTTTCATAATTTTTAATATTAGCTCATGAAATGTTTTCCTATTATTCAATGAACAGGCTTGGAAGTCATACGAGAATAAGAATCATATTAAGTTTATTGATGAGACACTGGATGTGAACCTTAACCAAGAGGAACATATGATGCAAATCATTGAGATTGCTTTGTTATGCACTCAATCACCAGCTTCTAAAAGACCAACCATGTCAGAAGTTGTTTCGATGCTAACAAATCGCCAATCTGTGGGGAATAGACAGCTTACCAGACCTGCTCCCATTAATCAAGATAGGAGGATTCAAATAGGCTCTTCAAATAAGGCAAACAACATTGGTATTTCTGGAATACCAAAGGAATTAGAGGCAAAAGAAAGTGCATAAGTATATGAAAAAGTTGACATGATGGAGAAGGGGTTCAAGAATATAGCAACAGTCAAGTAATATTTTTCTTCAAAACATGATAGTCCTTATGTTATCCACAATGGAGGTTGAATGAAATGAGTTGAATGGAGTGCCATGTAGGAGAGAGAACATGTGTTTTGTATTCAATTCATAAAAAAGCAAACATTTTACACTAAGAACTTCTATGATGCGTTCAATCTTCATTGAACTTTACCCTCTCTCTCTTCAATATTATATTCAGTTTTATTCTATTAAACCCTCATTCAACTCTCATTGTGGATGCCCTTAGGGTTGATCAATCATGTTGTGTTTCATGTGTCTTATAAAAGTAAAAAAGAACCAAAATTAGGTTGTTTGTTATTTTTTGGATGTATATATGTGATTAATTGTCGATCATGAGTTGAATCTAAATACGATAATACATTGCAATTTTTGTTTAATTGATCTTTTACTATTATACACAACTGACTAGTCTACTCTAATAAATGAAAGTTTTTTTTTGCCACATGTCATACTCTCATTTAATTGGTCAAATGTTATTTTTTGGTTATTTTCAATTAATTTTTTCTACATGCTATTTTATGGTTTTTTATTTTAATAAATTTCACATTATAATTTAATGTAATAATTACAATAAATGTATTAATAAATGAATATCAGTTTTATTAATGGACTTACCTTCTTATTTCAAAATAACCAAATTAAAGCTTATTAGTTTATTTTTTTATTTATTTAAATTTAAAAGATAAAAAAAATCAATTTTAATAATTCATTATTTTTCTTATTTTCTTATAAATCCAAAGTTTTTAAATATTTAGATCTTTATATTTAATTTTTTTTAATTAACCCATGTAATACATGGGTTACACCTAGTATGAATAATGAAGAAAAGTTAAGAGGAAGTGATTCGTGGACGATAAACTTTTTTCGGTACACAACAATTTATGTTTTGATAGGATGGTACAATACAACATTTTAAAGCACAAGTTGTTGTGTACAAATCAACTTCCAAAATTAACTTGCAACGGTTATTGAGGGATTAATGAAAAAATCTAATTACGAGACAATATGTTGCTACATAACATTGGTTCCGTTGATTAGCAAAAGAATGATTTTCAAGAATACGTTGTTAAATTAGAAATAATCACAATGCTTGATTGTTGGTCGTTAGTAAACACTGCATCTTGTAATTTATCCATTCCTTGTTAACCGTAGGGGGCAAAATAGAGAAAATGATCATTGCCCTATTAACTATATATAAAAATTAATATGTTTTTTTCTACCTTGAATTTCATATAAACTAAAAGTAGTAGACCATGTCTATATGCATAGAAAGCTTTACACCATCATGCATCATACTCAAGTAATTTCATCATCCATTTCAATTTAAGGGCCCATGAAGTCCTGATCTTATAACCCATCCATTACAATTTCCGGGCCCATTAAGTCTTTATCTTCTAACCCATGATCTGCAAAGTTTACTTCGACGTTTAAGGTACTTTCAAGTAGGGGTGTAAGTGAGCCGGGCTATTCGTGAGCTACTCGGGATCGACTCGTTAAAAGCTCGACTCGAGATCAAATTAAACGAGCCTGAGCCGAGCTCGAGCCTAAATACGAGGCTCATTTATTAAATGAGCTCGAGCCGAGCTTCAATTCATGAGCTTGCGAGCCTATATATATATATATATATATATATATATATATATATATATATATATACATAGAGGCTCGTTTAGGCTCGATTAGGCTTGCGAGCCCACTACATTGTTCACAAGCCGAGCTCGAGCTTCATTTTAAGGCTCGAATCGAGCTCGAGCTCGAGCTCGAGCTTCCTCAAAATTAAACGAGCCGAGCTCGAGCTTGGTCAGGCTCGGGCTCGACTCGGCTCGTTTACACCCCTACTTTCAAGGTTCAATATGTTTACATTAATGAAAGGGTTAGCTATTAAGAAGCTTAGATTCTACTATTCTAGAACCAAGGCTAAATATATTTATTACATAACTAGGTTATTACCCGTGGAAACCACGGTCGGTGTATTGAAAAATTTTATATAGATAAAAAAATAGTAATTGTTAAAAAAAACCAAGATATTATCGATTATAAGTAATTATGAATTAATTTGTTAAGCAAAATAAACATAATAATGTTATTAGGATATGATTTGTATTTTTTCAAAATTTGAATTGATTTGATTTGTTACCAAAAAAGAAAATAATAAAAATCATAGAAAAATGTCACGTGTGAAAGAAACATTCTAAAAAACTGACACGTGTCATTTTTAGGTTTTATTTATTAGAAGAGGTAGACTAGTTTATAACCCGTAGAACCACGTGTTATAAAATTAATTAAACTTTCATAATAAAAATTTATAATTATTAATCAATTATTTTTAATAAATCATTTTAAATAAATTATTATTTAAGAGATATATCAAATTCTTAAAGTTATTATAGCTTCAAATTTAACATATAATTAGAAAATATAAATTTAAATTTGAAATGAATTGCCTAATATATTCATATGACACATGACATAATATTAATAAGAAATTGTATTAGAGTGACACTTGACAAAACAAGATTAAAACTATTTATTTATTAGAATAGTGATAACTAGGTTATAACCCGTGGAAACCACGGTCGGTATATTTAAAAATTTTATATAGATAAAAAAAATAGTAATTGTTAAAAAAAACCAAGATATTATTGATTATAAGTAATTATGAATTAATTTGTTAAGCAAAATAAACATAATAATGTTATTAGGATATGCTTTTGTATTTTCAAAATTTGAATTGAATTTGATTTGTTACCAAAAAAAGGAAATAATAAAAATCATAGAAAAATGTCACGTGTCAAAGAAACATTCTAAAAAACTGACATGTGTCATTTTTAGGTTTTATTTATTAGAAGAGGTAGACTAGTTTATAACCCGTAGAACCACGGATTAGAAAATTAATTAAACTTTCATAATAAAAATTTATAATTATTAATCAATTATTTTTAATAAATCATTTTAAATAAATTATTATTTAAAAGATATATCAAATTCTTAAAGTTATTATAGCTTCAAATTTAACATATAATTAGAAAATATAAATTTAAATTTGAAATGAGTTGCCTAATATATTTATATGACACATGACATAATATTAATAAGAAATTGTATTAGAGTGACGCTTGGCAAAACAAGATTAAAACTATTTATTTATTAGAATAGTGATGATGATGATTATTTGATAGTTTTAAGAGATGATAACTTTTATATTTACTTTTTTTTAACTACCAATTATTTTTTAAATATATATCAGGTTTTTTTTTTTTTTTTTTTTAGTTCAAATTTATAAGAAACCTTTTCTTGTTCTTAGATAAGAAGTTTTTTATTGACCAATTATACATGAGAAAATACAAAAACCCATAAAAAATAAGATTACATTGTTATAAATTTTACTGTATAAAATACACCAAAAATAAAAACTCATTAGCAAAAAGTAAACTCTAAACTAAATACATTGCTAGCCGAAAAATACATCATCGGAGCCATCATTGTTGGTCGCAAATACGTTATCGAAGTCATCATTGCTGGCTGGAAATACGTTGTCGGAGCCATCATTGTAACTTCTTTCTTTTTTTATTTCTCTTTCTCTCTTAAAACTCAAACTAAATATTCATCGCCAGAGTGTATATCACCGTCACCTCCGCCAGGAGCTGCCCGTACTATGTCGGCGACATAATTCCGCCATTTTGATGTCTTTATACGCCCGAAAAAAATGGAGCGAGAAAGAGGGAAAGAGAAAGATGGAGAGAGAGTTAGAGAATGATTGAAAGACCGCCTGGTTTTGGTGGTCTAACGAGTCAAGGACTAGGTGGCTGGGGTGGTCCGATGGCGACGACTCGTTGGTTTCGGTGGTCCGGTAGGCGACGAATTGGTAGTTGCATGGTTCGACAGTGGCGACAATAATGAACCAATGATAGATATATATATAATATTAGATTATATTATATATATAAATCTATATATAATATATATGATATAAATATAATATATATAAAATATAAATCATAAATATACATATATATATATATATAATCGGGCTAGGTTCAAATGTGAATGAACATCTATTGTACGGACGTTGTTAACAATGTATATTATGTTCAAGAGAATAACTATCAGATGTTAGAAAACTGTTGTGAGAATAACTAAGAAAGTATGTTGTCTAATAATGTGAATACGTTCGATCTCACATAACTATTGTAATTTTTAAACATTCTGACTAATTAAATCGTCTATAAGCGAGTTTAGGTGCCGGTGAGGGATCAAGCTGGGGCTTTGGAGTCGGGCAGCTGGATGAGCAAAGGAGAGAGTTTATATCATCTCAGATTACGCGCAGTATTATGAACCAGACTCCTGTGATCTTCGGTACGGTCAAGGAGGGCATTTTGGAGGTTTTGGACGAGAGGTTGGGTGCGTTCTACACCGAGATGGCGGCCATGATGGGGGGGGGGCACGTTGACATTCAGGGAGTTCAGAGCATGTGGAGCTCCAGACTATCATGGCGCTAAGGACCCCATTGCTAGCAGTCGGTGGTTGGCAGATGTCGCCAACGCTTTTCGTACTAGCCGGTGTCCCAAGGGGGACAACGTCTGACTCGCCTCCTGTCTTCTGAAGGTCAGAGCACGTGATTGGTGGGAGGAGTTTGGACATGCTATTGGGGATGATGCCACGTTGGACGCGATGACACGGGGTGACTTCTCGGCCAGGTTCAGGTCCGAGTTTGCACCCGTGATTGAGGTGCAGCAGTTAGCACGAGAGTTCCAGCATCTCCAGCGGACTACGGAGACGGTGGCGGAGATCGCCGCCAAGTTCAAGGAGAGAGCCCTTCTTGTTCCACAGTATGTGGCGGATGAGGAGATGAAGAAGGATCAGTACGACGAGATGATGAGGAGTGACATTAGAAAGTCCGTGAGTCGGTCCAGCTGCAAGATGCTGGAGGATATGATCGCTCGAGCCAGGGAATGGGAGATCGACTTAGAGGAAGAGAGGAAGAGGAAACCAGATGAGGTGCAGACATCTGCAGGGTCGGGCAAGAGGCCCAAGGTATCCGATTCTAGATCGAGAGGTCATCAGGACCGTAACCGCTGTGGCAAGTGAGGCAGGACACAAGATGTAACACCCTCAAAAATTGAGCCAAATTAAAATATTTTAATTCATTTCAAAACCATTA